GGCAGGGGAAGGAGTGGGATGGGGGGCAAGAGTTGGATACTTGGGGCATTGGTGGTGGAAAATGTCCACTGGTGGAGGGATGGGTGTTCGATTATTTTATGACTGAAACTCAAATATGAAAGCTCGGTAACCGTATCTCACAGCGATTCAGTAAATAATTAAGGAAAATATTCCTGTCTAAAAGCAAAAAATAAATAAATATAGGAAATGATTCTATGATATACTGTTCACAGTTTGAGATCTCTGGAAGGTACTTATACACAGCAGAAAACTCCCTGCCTTTCTGTGTTCATCTAAACAGCCGCCTCCCATCCAGGTGTTAACCTCTCCTTCCACCTCAAGGGTACACAGACAGCGAGCACCTTTCCCCAGGTGATTACAGAAGCCCAAACAGACTGTCTGCTTCCTAACCGGGGTTCTGCCGCACACACAGGGAGCCTGTGCACTGCTAGTAGAGGGGTTCTTTGTTTTTGTTTTTGTTTTGGAGCCATACCTGGCAATGCTCAGGGGTTACTCCTGGCTCTGAACGCTGGGATCACTCACTCCTGATGGGCCTTGGAAGGGAGTAGATGGGATGTCAGGGATTGAATCTGGGTCAGCCGTGAGGAAGGCAAGAAGTCTACCCTTGGGACTGTCCCGTGGGCACCTAGCAGAGAGGTTGTGTAGCTCCAGCTTCTGTAGCTTTTGGTGAAGCTCTAATTTCAGTGGCTACCCTGACTTCTGAATTATAAAAGATCTACACCCCACAAGAGAAACTGGTGGGTTTTTGCTATGTTAGTAGAAAACAGAGCTAAGAAGCTATTAATGAAATTCATGAAAAGAAAGAGCTTTATTCTTGATGACAGTGAAAAAAAAATAAAGTGACTTACTTCTTTAAACCAAATAAAAAGCCACAAATCTTATCATCTTACAGTATTAGATTACTGGAGGCCGACTTTTACATTTGCAAAGTAAAAGAAGAGGAGTGAATTAAAGGATGGTTTTGAGATAAACTTCACTTTCTTGGAGAGGATCCCTAGGAATTCAGGCTGTTCCCCATCCAGGGTGCCTGGATGGGGGTGTCACAAGTTTCTCAGTTCAGGAGCAGAGAAAGGCAGGCAGAGTCACAACAGCCAAGTCACAGCCTGTCACCATGGTGCTGTGGTTTGCAGAGGCCCTCAAACAGATTTACTGAGCTACGAGTTGTGCTGAGCTTCTGAAAAGCACTGTCAGTTTGTCAGTTGCTCTCGTCTCACTTAAGGGTTTGAAAAAAAACCAGGCACATGCAATTGCTTAACATGTTGACATCAAACCAAGATTGCCCCCAGCTTCTGTCCACCAGTTTCATCAAGACCATACCCACCATGAACTGAAGCTCTAACCCATTACTAATCCTGTGGGTTCCAAGGTTAAGAAAGAGCTGTTTCCAACCACCTTTTGATTTGGACCAGCTGAAATTCCAGCAGAACCAAGGGTCCAGAATCTTCCTGAAGACTTACTTGGAATTATCTTTATTTCTTCTTTTCATTAACCATCACTGGAAGACTAAGTTCTTGCCTCTGTCTTCTCTCATATCCCCTTAATGCACTCTGCCCACTCCCTCTCTCCTCCCACCCCCATTAAACCACTTTGGCTTCCATTCCTAACCTCCTTTGTTAGGAAGTAAGTAATTGGTGGCTCTATTCATCCTTCTTTGACCCTTAAAACTAGGCAACATCTTACCTGTTAGATGTCTCCATTGATTCATTTATTTCACATCACAGCATTACCTATTTACAGTGTATTTTCTGTTCTATGTCATAAACTCCATGAGAGCAGAAATTATGTCTGCCTGACTGTTAAGTGATGAAAATTTAACATAGCTACTGGAATGTAACTGGAATTTAATAGATATTATGAAATAAAAGAGGAAAGAGATGGGCAATGAAAAATGAGTTTCTAAATTAGACTTCTGAACATACTTTCCAGGAGAAACATTGTGATCATATGATGTTGGCTTTGCCTCAACTAGAGCATAGGTTACATGGTTCTGAGAGCTGGCATGGATCCTAACCACCCGAGGTCTATTTTTCTGCCAAGAAAAGTACTGTGAGTCTCAGTCACATGTTGATAAATAACCTTTACAGGCTGCACTCTTCTGTTCTATGTTCAAGTTTAATACTTCATACTTAAGTATCTGAAGCCTTTTGATCTCAAATGACTGATTCTCAAGAAAATTCTGTGATGTCATTTGCCCAACATAAAGTACAACATTAAAATCATGTTCTAAACCTTGGACTAGTTGCTGAGGACCCAAAAGAAAGAAGACATCATTTTTATGCCCATTTTTCATATTCTGGACAAGAGAAAGATACTGATGACCTCATTTTCATGTGAAGTTATAAACTCTGTGCTTAAGTTCACAGTCATTAGTTATGGTATGTGATCTCTGGCATAATGTTTCCTAGTAGTTAAACTTCTGGATGCTACGTTGTTTGAATTTGGCTCATTGGAAGATGAAGATGAAAACAATCCCCTTTGTTTTAGTGTTGTTTTTCTTTTTTAAAAATAAATCTTGGAGTCTGGAGCAATAGCACAGCAGGTAGAGTGTTTGCCTTGCATGCGGCTGACCCGGGTTTGATTCCCAGCATCTCATATGGTCCCCCGAGCACCGCCAGGAGTGATTCCTGAGTGCAGAGCCAGGAGTGACCCCTGAGCATCACAGGGTGTGACCCAAAAAGCAAATGCATAAATAAATAAATAATCTTAAAAACATATGACTCAGGGCTGGAGAGATAGCACAGCGGGTAGGGCGTTTGCCTTGCATGCAGCCAACCCAGGTTCAAATCCCAGCATCCCATATGGTGCCCTGAGCACTGCCAGGAGTGACTCCTGAGTGGAGAGCCAGGAGTGACCCCTGTGCATTGCCAGATGTGACCCAAAAAGCAAAAAAAAAATAAAAATAAAAAAGAACTCTTAAGGGGCTGGAGCAATAGCACAGTGGATACGGTGTTTACCATGCATGCAGCCAACCCGGGTTCGATTCCCAGCATGCCATATGGTCCCCTGAGCACCGCCAGGGGTGATTCCTGAGTGCAGAACCAGGAGTAACCCCTGTGCATCGCCAGGTGTGACCCAAAAAGCAAAAAAGAAAAAAACAAAAAAACATATAACTCATCCTTTTTCTGTGTTAATCCTAGAAAATCCATATTTTCTTAATGACAAGAAAATACATATTTTGGAGCTGGAGAGATAGTACAGTGGGTAGGGCACTTGCCTGACACACAGCCAGTTCGGGTTCAATGTCCAGCACCCCCATATGGTTCCCCAAGTCCCACCATGAGTGATCGCTGGGCACAGAGCCAGGAGTAAGCTCTGAACACCACCAGGTGTGACCTCCAAACCCAAAACATACAAAATTATTTTTAAAGGACACATTTTACTCGCCAGGTGAAGATGGGCATGCCAAAGTATTTAAGCAGATTGCTTACAATTGCACTGAAATCGTGGTGGATAAGGCATGTGTGTAGAACCATCCGGGTGCCAAGTAAAACGAGACCTATTTCCCTCAGGCCTTCTGAGGAGCAGGCACCACACAGGAAACCACAGAGGGACCCTGAGGCAAGTTTCTCAGTACCAATATGTAGGGCCTTGCTCCATAACAGGCAACAGCTTAAATAGTTCTTCTTTCCTCTGACCATCTGCATAGACTGGTTAATGCAATCACTTGGCTGTTCCTACAATTGCAAACTGAACTGAGAGTCTTTGTGCCATCTGGGTGGTCCCGGTAAGGGTCTAGGGTGGTAGGTGCTGTCTACAGCCAACTCCGAGGAGGTAGCTACAGCAGGCCCCAGGGAGAATCTAAAGTGCCTTCCCATAGAGCCCAGAGCTGCCTAAACTATTCCGGAGAACTCCCAAGGAACTGCAGAAAAAAAGGATTCTCTCAGGCCTGAGACCTCAGGCAGGACTTGGGTCAGGAACGGGGAAGGTGCTGGCTAAAAGGAAGAGAGGGAAAGGAAAAGCCAGATAAGCTCAGGGGTGTGGAGAGTGGCTGAGATGCCATTTTGCTCGAGCGGGCCCAGTAACGTCTCCATTGGAGACTTTGTTGTTACTGTGTCTGGCATATCAAATACTCTCGGTAGCTTGCCGGGCTCTCCGAGAGGGGCGGAGGAATCGAACTCGGGTCGGCCATGTTGGTCGCTTGTAAGGCGAACGCCCTACCCGCTGTAAGTATATATGCTATGTATTTAGTCAGTTTCCTTTTTATTGGCCAAACAGTAGTACAAGAAGACTCAATGGTGTCTGAAGAAATTGGAACTGGGCTCATTTCCTTATTTCTCTATATGAATTTTACAGATTACTCATCTTTTGTGGATATCAACTTCCTTATACATAGGGAAGTTATAAAATATTTATTTTGGCTATTTTAAATTTTTTCTTTTCTTCTCTTTTTTGGCCATACCTGGTGGTTCTTAGAATTACTTGCAGCTCTGTGGTCAGAGATCACTCCTGGCAGTGCTCAGGGAACAATATGTGATGCTGGGAACTGAACCTGGGTTGGGTGGGAGCAAGGAAAGCCCCTGGGTGGGATTAACTTCAGTCCTTAACTTGGCTTTTTCATGTGAGAACTGACATTCGTTCATTCCATGAATATTGATGGGATGTTTCAGGCATTAGCAATCAATGCTACTTCAAGAAATATAAGGGGCTGGAGAGATAGCACAGCAGGTAGGGCATTTGCCTTGCACGTGGCCAACCTGGGTTCGATTCCCAGCATCCCATATGGTTCCCTGAGCACCGCCAGGAGTAACTCCTGAGTGCAGAGCCAGGAGTAACCCATGTGCATCACCGGGTGTGACCCAAAAAGAAAAAGAAAAGAAATATAAGTTATATCAGAAAACTTCTGTGTGACCTTGGGAAAATTTTTAAATCTCTCTGAACCTTCATGTTATACTTTAATACTTATAGAAGAAAGTAAACAAATGGTTATCTCAGATCTCTTCTTGAAAGCTATCCCCCACCAACGAGTATTTACTACTCACTCAATGGAGACGATGACAGCATTCAACTCCTCAGCCATTGCTGTACACAATTCATCATAATAGCTGATTTCTAAAAGAGACAATGGAATAATCATTATAAAATAGGTTATTGAATACTGTCTATTTGTAAGTTCTGCTAACTAGATTGCTTTTAGATGGACTTACGTTTCTAATGATAAAATAATTTTTATAAAAAAGCAAACATGAACATATGTGTCAATAATAGTTAGAAGGTCCTCCATGATATTGAAGCTAAAGGCATATTCAAAGATGGAACACCACTGGCCAGGAAAATAAATGGAACTACATTAAACTAAGAAGCTCCTGAACCTCAAAACAAACAGTGACCAAAATATAAACACGGTCCATGGAAAGGAAAAAATTATTTACCCAATACCCATCTGATAAGGGGTTAATATCAAAGATGTATAAAACACTGGGAGAACTTTACAAGAAAAAAAATTCAATTCCATCAAAAAATGGGGAGAAGAAATGAACAAAAACTTCCTCAAAGGAGAAATATAGGGCCAGAGTGATAGCAGCAGGTAGGGTGTTTGCCTTGCATGCGGCCAACCCAGGTTCAATCCTCGGCATAATATATGGCCCCCTGAATAATGCCAGACGTAATTCTTGATTGCAAAGCCCTAAGCATTGCTGGGTGTGACCGCCCCCTCCCCAAAAAGAAAATACTAATGACTAAAAAAGAGGGAGGGAGAGGGAGAGGGAGAGAGAGAGAGAGAGAGAGAGAGAGAGAGAGAGAGAGAGAGAGAGAGAGAGAAGGAAAGTGCCTGTCATTGAGGATGGGGGGAGGGAAACTGGGGGCATTGGTGGTAGGAAAGGTACACTGTGAAGGGACAGGAGGTGGAACATTATATGAGGAAAACCCAATCATGAGCAACTTTTGAACTGTGTATCTCACTGTGATTCAATAAGCGAATAAATAAGTAAATGAACGGACATGGAGAGTATCATGCTGAGTGAAATGAGTCAGAAAGAGAGGGGCAGACACAGAATGACTGTACTCATTGTGGGATATGAAAATACATAATGTGAGACTAATACTCAAGGATAGTAGAAACAAGGACCGGGAGGACTGGTCCATGATTGGAAGCTTGTCACAAGTGTTGGCGCAAAAGAGCAGTTAGAATAGAAAAAGAAGTACTACGACAATGATAGTTGGAAATGATAACTCTCAACAAGAACTGAGTGTGGGAAGTAGGTAAAGGAACAAACATCTTTTGGTACCTGTATTGCAAACCAAAATAATGCCAAAAGGAAAGAGAGACCAAGAGGAGAGAGAGAGAGAGAGAGAGAGAGAGAGAGAGAGAGAGAGAGAGAGAGAGAGAGAGAGAGAGAGAGAAGGGGAAAAGTGCCTGTCATAGAGATAGGCTGGGGTGGGGGGAAGAGGAAGGCAGGATGGAAATTGGGGACATTGGTGGTGGGAAATGTACACTGCCAAAGCCATAGGTGTTGGAACATTGTATGATTAAAGGGATTTTATCCTCGGAAGATCCAAAGATTGGGCCTAAAAGAAGAAATACATGTAAAAATTTAATCCCAATCACAAGCAAATTTGTAACTGTATAACTCATGGTGATACAATAAAAATTAAAAAAAATATAATAGTTACATGGCTAAAAACCAGATCTGGTTGATGATAAAGTGCAATTATTGTAAAATAACAGGTTATTCATACTAGACGGTCTTTAAGTGTACTATAAAATAACCATCTATTTTATAGTGGACTCTGTGAAAAGCAGCATGTTAATATCAACTGTGTTTACCTTTCCAAAAATGAACAACAAATAGACAATTTCCTTTTAAAACCACATGTATAGATTTTTCTCTTTTGACATCATTCATTTGCTCTAATTTAGAAAGTCACCAATTTAGGGATTATAGTATTCTAATTAAACCCTATTTAAACCCAACACAAGACCAATTAGACATTTTGTAAGTCTCAGGATTTCTTTTCTTTGGAAGCTGAGAGACAGTACAAAGGTTGAGGTGGTCATCCAGCAATTGGCTGCTACTGCAGCAGGGCTCAAATCCCAATGCCACAACCCAGAGCCATAGTACAGTGGTTAGCGCACGTGCTTGCTCATGGCAAACAAGAGTTCAATCCCTGACACCATAAAGGGTCCCAACCCCTGTCAGGAGTGATCCCTGAGTGCAGAGCCAGAAGAAAGCCCTGAGCACTTCTAGCTGTGGGCCAAAAATTAAAACAAAAACAAAAAAAAAAATACCCAAAACAAAAACCCAAAATCCCGATACCAAACCAACCCAAATCCCAGCAACACATAAGGCCCACTAACATCTAGAACCACATGTCCCCTGAGTAGAGTAGCCCCCAAACAAAACTACAAATAAAACGAATTTATCTGTATCTTTTTTTATTTTTTGGAGGAGACAGGGTGTGGGGCCACACTCAGAGGTGCTCAGGGCTTAGTCCTGGATGTGAGTGTGCCCAGGAGTCACTCTTGAAGGTGCTTGTGGGACCATATGCAGTGCTGGAGATCAAACCATGAAAGGCAATGCCTTATCCCCGGAAGATCCAAAGATTGGGCCTAACAGAAGAAATACATGTAAAAATTTAATCCCTTCATTATTTTAAAAAATGATTTAAGTCCGTCCTTCACGCCCTACCGAGGTCACCAGTCACCCCCCGCAAGCGGCTCTCCAGCACAGCCATGGCCCCAGAAGCACAAGGACTTAATGCAGAACCCAGCAGCTTGGAGCAGAAAAGTGAAAGGACTATGCGTTAATCCAGGCAATCATTTCTGCCCAGAGGGGAAAGGGTGTTGCTCCCTTCCGCCCTCCTCCCTCTGGAAAGAAAGATGGCGGCCACATGGGAGCCTTGTGGACAGCAGGTATGAGCCGGGGGTGTGGGGGCGACTAAAACCTCATGGGAAGGGGGGCGTTCCGGTCCATCCTTCACGCCCTACCGAGGTCACCAGTTGCCCCCCACGAGCGGCTCTCCAGCACGGCCACAGCCCCAGAAGCACAAGGGCTTAATGCAGAACCCAGCAGCTTGGAGCAGAAAAGTGAAAGGACTATGCGTTAATCCAGGCCATCAAGTCTGCCCAGAGGGGAAAGGGTGTTGCTCCCTTCCGCCCTCCTCCCTCTGGAAAGAAAGATGGCGGCCACATGGGAGCCTTGCGGACAGCAGGTATGAGCCGGGGGTGTGGGGGCGACTAAAACCTCATGGGAAGGGGGGTGTTCCGGTCCGTCCTTCACGCCCTACCGAGGTCACCAGTCGCCCCCCACGAGCGGCTCTCCAGCACAGCCACGGCCCCAGAAGCACAAGGACTTAATGCAGAACCCAGCAGCTTGGAGCAGAAAAGTGAATGGACTATGCGTTGACCCAGGCCATCAAGTCTGCCGGAGGGGAAAGGGTGTTGCCCCATTCGCCCTCTCCTCTCTGGAAAGAAAGATGGCGGCCACATGGGAGCCTTGTGGACAGCAGGTATGAGCCGGGGGAGTGGGGGTGACTAAAACCTCATGGGTCGGGGGGCGTTCTGGTCCGTCCTTCACGCCCTACCGAGGCCACAAGTCGCCCCCCGCGAGCGGCTCTCCAGCACGGCCATGGCCCCAGAAGCACAAGGACTTAATGCAGAACCCAGCAGCTTGGAGCAGAAAAGTGAACGGACTATGCGGACTATGCGTTGATCCAGCCCATCAAGTCTGCCGGAGGGGAAAGGATGTTGCCCCATTCGCCCTCTCCTCTCTGGAAAGAAAGATGGCGGCCACATGGGTGCCTTGTGGACAGCAGGTATGAGCCGGGAGTGTGGGGGCGACTAAAACCTCATGGGAAGGGGGGCGTTTCGCTCCGCCCTTCACGCCCTACCGAGGCCACCGGTTGCCCCCCGCGAGCGGCTCTCCAGCACGGCCACGACTCCAGAACACAGAAACCAGTTTCTTAACTATCTGACTTTCAGTAGAAATACTTCCAGGGTCAATAGGTAAAATAGCAGAAATCCAAAACCAACATTTAATTCTTTAACCCAGCTGTAGAAAGCAAATCACTTCACAATGCTTTTTCAGCATGTCTGATTTGGGGGGGGGGGGGGTAAACTCTAAATAATAGTGGTGAATCTTTTATTGAAACAATGAATCTAATCAAAGCAGATAGAGTGTTAACTAGAATTCATCTGCCTCACAGGGACGGGGAGGGGTGGGGGTGGGGTTTTATTGGGGTTCTTCATGGTAAAAAATAAGTATTGGTAAAGGGAAATGTGTTTGATATTTGCATTACTGAGACATAAACCTGAAAGCTTTGTAACCTTTCCCACAGTGATTCAATAAATAAAAAAAAAAAATGATTTAAAAGTTGGGCTCTAAAAAAAAAAAGTTGGGCTCTGTGAAGAGAAAGACAATAACTACGACCATTTTCCAAGAAGATCTTAAAACCAGAAGACTAATAACAAAAAAACCCTCTATGTAATTTTGTAGCCATTTCTAGTCATTTCTTTGGCAGGAATGATGAATAAAAGTGATATGAAAAAGATAAGGTTGAGTCTTATCCATCTTTCCATTCCTGGCATCCCCAATATAAGGCCATGACTGAAGGTATCCAGTGCTCAGTCTCTTAGAGGGAGGGGATCGATTATTTTTTTTAATCTATCACCTGACACACATTAAGATGATCAAAGGTTCAAGTCTACATACAATTAACTTAAGTGTTTCACTGAAATTTCTGTATTTTAAGGGACCTCTCAGTCCTGGAAACACCTGCACACTCCATAAACAAATGGTGAAAACATAACAAGCAGTAAAGAAGAGAATGATAAAGGAGCCAGAAGACAGCCTGATGGTTAGGCCATGTGCCTGGTCCAGTTCCTGGAACCATGTTGTTCCCTGAGCATCCTCCGGTAAATCCCTGGAGGCCCCCAGCATTGCCAGTGTGGCCTGGGTTTCCCCAGAACTGCAGGGCCCAAGCAGCATCACATCCTATGGCCTTTGCACTGACCTGCTGGCCTGACCGGCTAAGAATCACTTGTGGAACTCCCAGAACTTCTGAGCACTGCTAGGGAGCCCACCACTTTTGTTAATATTTTAAAAGATTAAAATTTTGTTAGGGAAAGAAAAATGGCAGCTGCTCCAGAGCTTTATGGAAAGCCAGGTATGAGCTGGTCGTGATGGGGCGACTGAAACCTCATGGGAAGGGGGGCATTCCCGGCTGTCTTTCACGCCCTACCAAGGTCAGGAGTTGCTCCCCACGAGCGGCTCTCCAGCACAGCCATGGCTCCAGAAGCACAAGGACTTAATGCAGAGCCCAGCAGCTTGCGGCAGAAAAGTGAATGGACTATGCGTTAATCCACGCCACCATGCCTGCCTGGAGGGGAAAGGGTATTGCTCCCTTACGCCTTTTTCCCTCTGGAAAGAAAGATGGCAGCTGCTCTGGAGCTTTACAGAAAGCCAGGTATGAGCTGGTCGGGATGGGGCGACTGAAACCTCATGGGAAGGGGGGCGTTCCCAGCTTGTCCTTCACGCCCTACCGAGGTCACTGGTTGCCCCCCACGAGAGGCTCTCCGGCACGACCATGGCTCCAGAGCACAGAAACCAATCACATAACTATCTGACTCTCAGGAGAAATACTTCCAGGGTTAATAAGTAAAATACCAGAAATCCAAAATCAAAGACATCGTTTGATTCTTGTGACCAGCTGTAGAAAACAAATTATTTCACAATGCCTTTTCAGCATGTCTGATTTGGGGGTGTAAACTCTAAATAATAATTTTGCGTCTTTTGTCGAAACAATGAATCTAATCAAAGTAGATAGAGTGTTAACTAGAATTCATCTGCCTCACAGGCATTGGGAGGGTTGGGAGGGGGGAGTTTATTGGGGTTCTTTGTGGTGAAAAATAAGTATCGGTAAAGGGAAATGTGTTTGATATTTGCATGACCTAGACTTAAACCTGAAAGCTTTGTAACTTTTCCCACAGTGATTCAATAAATAAATAAAAAAGACATTAATAGAAACAAAAATATATTAAACTTGCTAAATTAATAAAGAATTTTTCAAAAACCAGAAAAAATTTTGTTAATATTTAAAATATTTTTAATGTTGTTAATTTGTTGGCTTTTTAGTTAAAATGGAGTTAGATCAAATGAATTATTAGGAAAAATGATATATTTTGGCCTGTATACTTTTTTTTTCTTTAGACTTACAAATTTTTGTGCTTGGGTTTTGATTATACAATGATCAAATACCCATCTCTCCACCAGTGCCCATTCTCCACCACCACGGGTGCCAGTAACCCTCCAACTCTCCTGCCCCCCCATCCCACCCTGTCTCTGTGGCAGGGCATTCCCTTTTGTTCTCTCTCTCCTTTTGGGTGTTGTGGTCTGCAAAAGAGTCATTGAGTGGCAATCATGTTCGGCCCATAGTCTACTTTCAGCATGCATCTCCCATCCTGGAAGGATCCTCCAAAAACCCTTTATTGGGTGCTTCCTTCTCTATCTGAGCTGCCCTTTCCCCTAGAATGCCCAGCTGGCCTCTAAGAAATGGAGTAATCCTCTGTAGTATACTTCTTAAAAAGAGGTAGGATGCAGAGACATAGCTCAATGCGCTGATCATGGGTTTTGCATGTAGGAAGCCTGGGTTTCATCCCTGTCACTGCATGTCGCTGAGGGGCATCACGGGGGGGGGGGGTTAACTCCTGAGCACAGAGCCATGAGTAGCCCCTAGTACTTCTGGGTATGGCCACAAAACAAAAAAAGGTATATAATGTAATAAAATAAGCAAAGTTGCTACTTAGTTTTATTATCATGGTCTGGGTTCCAGACAGCAGCAATGCTCAGGAACTACTTTTGGCTCTGTGGTCACTGGACCGAGTGGTGCTGGAACTTGAAGCCAGACCCCGAGCATGCTATGTCAACTGACTTTAAACTGAGGTGTGCTTGAAACTTTGAGCTCAAGATGCAGAAGCAGCTCTGTGACAATGAGGGCGGAGAAGGGGTTCTGATTTCCTCCTGGATAAGCTGCTCTACTTGGCTGCTACCATTTTGGGTGTGTACTGCTCATGAAAGTTATACAATAAAAAAAAAACCCAAAACAAAATTGAACTCTGGAAGATCGTTTTCTTTCTACAGCAGGATATTATTTTCATCTTTGCCTTCATAAGCAGAAGAGACAGTGGTGAATTAACAGGTAAATTCAGGAAAAAACAAAACAAAACTTGTTCTATTCCGAGAAAGAGAGAGAAAGAGAGAGAGAGAGAGAGAGAGAACCAAGAACCCCAATATACTCCCCTCCAACCCCTCCCAATGCCTGTGAGGCAGATGATTTCTACTTAACTCTTCTCTACATTGATTACATTCATTTATTTCGACAAAAGATGCATCATTATTGTTTAGAATTACCCCCCCCCCCCCCAACAATCAGAATTGCTGAAAAGGCATTGTGAAATACTTCGTTTTCTATACCTAGTTATGAGAATCATATAATCTCGCGTGGCCGCAGTAGTGGCCTCGCGATTTTGGATTTCTGCAAAGAGCCAGATAATTTAGAGATTGGTTTCTGTGCGTCTGGTGTTTGTTATGGCTGTGCCGGGCGGGGGGTGGGGGGCAACGCGTGACCTCCGTAGGGCGTGAAGGACAAGCTGGTACCGCCCCCCTTCCCATGAGACTGCAGTTGCCCCATCACCACCGACTCATACCTGGCTTTCCAATAAGCTCTGAGGCAGCGGCCACCTTGCTGCTAGGGGAGGGGGGGACACGGGGGGGGGGAGTGGCAGAGGCGGAAGGGAGGAACACCCTTTCCCTCCTGGGGCGGCATGGCGCCTTAGTTTAACGCATGGTCCATTCACTTTTCTACTGGAAATGTTTTTAATGCAGCGTGCTGAATTAATAAATGAATGGGCTGAATTTTGGAAGGGAAGTCAAGGGTCCCCCTAGCCTCACTCCCAGTGATACTAAGTTGAGAAATTCAGGTCTGGTGGTTGGCAATGGGCAAGCAGCTGGTGCTGCTTGAGTATGCAGGGCTGGGGGCTGAAAGGGCAACGCTCAACACTTCTTCGGGGTGGGCATGAGTTACTGGGACTAGATCTCTGGGCCTATCACTTACTACCTCTCCAGCCTCGCTGAATTTTTTTTATACATTGTGATTAATTTTGTAGGGAATCTTACAAAGGGGTAATTGAGACAGTCCAAAGGAACAACATCAAATGGTCTCCTCTCCTTTCCTACACCAGAAGAAAGCCAAACCCATCACACCACTTCGGGGTCAACCACAGCCCAAACCAAAGGAAAGACATACTTGCACTGGCCAGGGCCCAGCCGCCTCCATGGATGTAAACCACACTGCGCTTCAGCGGCTCCTGCGGCTTTGGGGAGCCTTCGAACACTCTGACTTCCACACCATCAAAGTCGGTGTCCGTCACCTTCACCTGAGGGGTTGACCACGCGCTTTTCTTGCCAAATGAGAGGATGATAAAATTCAGCGCCAGCAGATGATGGCTCAGTCCCAGGTAGTGGATCAGGTTACTCTGCGGTCGGAGGAGGGATAAAGGGGAGAGCAGGTCAATACTGTCATCAGCGGAGCCACATTTACTACCTTTCGGGAGCTGACGCCGAGGGAACGTCTAAGGGGCTGTTGTCACGGGTGTTCACTTAATCAAGCACACTGAAACAATCTGTGCTGGGAGAACAAGGAGAACTTTACTACAATGGTTGATGGGACCGTGGGTCTAGTCTAAGTCACTGTCACTGTCCTCCCATTGTTCATCGATTTTCTCGAGTGGGCTCAGTAACGTCTCCATTGTGACAATTGTTCCTGTGTTTGGCATATCGAATATGTCATGGGTTGCTTTCCAGGCTCTACCATGCGGGTGAGATACTAGGTAGCTTGCCGGGCTCTCTGAGAGGGGCGGAGGAATCGAACTCGGGACATCCAGGTGGGCCGCGTGCAAGGCAAATGCCCTACCCATGGTGCTATCACTCCAGCCCCTCGTCTAAGTAAGTACCTAAAACCTTAGGCAAAGCTCAGGGGTCCAAGGGCCCATTTTTATAGGGCATTACTGCAAACTTATCATTACTTTGCTGCAGGCTCAAGCAATGTAGGGGTGCGCGCGCGCACACACACACACACACACACACGATGGCATGTTATCAGTGCGGTTATGGGAGTTTTCTAAAATAAGCCTTTTCTTAGCTTGAAATAAGGAAGTTTATGCCAAATGCAGATATGGTGAGCATCTTTCATAACGTTCTAACCACAAGTTAAATCAGCTCTTTAGAGTACATGCTATAAGATTATAAAATCAAAGATACATATGTAAATTTCCATCACAATAGTGTCAAGGATCAAACTGATCAGCTGCAGACTAAGTAAACATATTACTCCCTCACCATCCCTTCGGCCCTTAGAATCTGAATTCTTACAACTGCCAGTGCATCTGAGCACTTATTGGACAATGTCACTGTCACTGTCCTCCCATTGTTCATTGATTTGCTTGAGCAGGCACCAGTAACGTCTCCACTGTGAGACTTGTTGTTACTGTTTTGGCATATTAAATACACCACGGGGAGCTTGCCAGGTTCTGCTGAGTGGGCAGAATACTCTCAGTAGCGTGCTGGGCTGCCCGAGAGGGGCAGAGGAATAGAACCCAGGTCAGCCATGTGCAAGGCAAACGCCCTACCGACAATGCTATCGCTTAGGCCCACTGGACAATGTAATGCAATAAAAATTTCTATTGTTCACTTTTACAAATTACAAAATATTTTCACACATGAGTTCTTCGCTCTGAGCAAGAAGCAGGACAAGTGTTATCAATTCCAGTTTTACTGAGAAGCGTTAGGCATTAGAAAACATTCCATCTTCTGGAACTCAAATTTCATAAGTAGAAGCTGGGCTCCCAGGAGTCATTCCTTTTTTAAATTTTTCCTAAGGCAGGATGTCATAATTCCAATAACACATTCAAGCCACTAAGGTCTAACCACAAGACCTCTTGTCAGCATTTTTTCAACTGTTTTGAGTCAAGGACCAGGGTTATGTAGCTCGGCAAAGCTCATGCTTGTGTGTTTGCTTGATGCCCAAACTGGATCCCCAGCACCACAAAAGAAAATGGTTGTAAAAGTATTTCTTTTTTAAGCTTATATATTTAAGTGTGCCTGGGTCAGAATCCATGGCACCCTGGCATTCAGAAGCGGATCAGCTCAGACAGAACCAGGCACTTTTTAGAAATCTGCAAAGAACACACAGCCTGCCACCTCTTGCTCTTTAACACCTGTGGACATCAAACTGTCTTCACAGGAAGTTCTTGCATTGGAGAAGGTGTAGAGAGAGAAAAGTCCCAAGTCATCTACCCAGCAAAGTCTCTGTAGAGTTTATCCCCTCAATTCCACTACTTATACAAGCACTTCTCATCAAAAACCTTTTTTTTTACTTTTTGGGTCACACCCGGCATTTCACAGGGGTTACTTTTGGCTCGTGCACTCAGGAATTACTCCTCGTGATGCTTGGGGTCCCATATGGGATGCTGGGAATCAAGCCTGGGTCGGCCGCATGCAAGGCAAATGCCCTACCCTCTGTGCTATCGTTCCAGCCCCTCATCAAACACTCTTAGAAAACTGACTGCCCTGCAAGACTTAATGACCTTGTTTCAAAACCAGAGAATTCAAAGAACATAAGTAATGAAATTAAAGAAGCCCCAAATGCCAAAAAATGAGTGGAAGACTTTCCTGGTACAGGTCTATGCGAACTCAGATTTTTTATCTCCTGAGCAGCCAGACTGCTGAGTCGTTACCCACAGTGTCTGAGGGAGGACATCACTACTGAACACAGGAGCCCTAGCACAAGAAGAGATGGAAAGAACTGCATTATAAAATAATTAGTCCATACTCATGACAAACAAGACCAAGAGGCAGTTCGACTGATCATGAACAGTTATTGCAGTAATTCCATTAAAATGTTTGCTGACAGAGTAATCAACAACAGGGAAATGAATATTAATAAAAGAAGTCAATGACTGTATTTACCAATTGTTCAATTTACTGAAAAAGTCATAACTGTTAATGTTCTTGATTTAAAAAATGAAAACAAATATGCTAGGACCAGAAAATTCTAAACATCAATTTAAGATCTTTGAAAAATAGGGAAAGGGCAATCATCATTTGGGTTTTGTTATAAAATATCATTGTAAAAGGGGAATAAGATCTTCCAGGATGTACTTAAGAATCACTATATTCATTTCACGTTTTAGAAATCATAAAATAAATCCTTGATAACTGAAATCAATTAATACAGATCATAATCTATTTTGGGCTGGAGCGATAGCAAAGCGTGTAGGGTATTTGTCTTGCACAAGGCCAACCCAGTTTCGATTCCTCTGTCCCTCTCAGAGAGCCAGGCAAGCTACCAAGAGTATCCTGCCCGCATGGCAGAGACTGGCAAGCTCCCCATGGCACATTTGGTATGTCAAAAACAGTAACAAGTCTCACAATGGAGGCATTACTGGTGCCCGCTCAAGCAAATCTATGAACAATAAGAGGCCATGCTACAGTGCTAATCTATTTTATTACTCACAGGAACTGTGGTTTTATGAGTATGAAATAATGAACAAAGAACTGGAGGGCTATTTCATTTTACACTATATATATATATATAGTTAATTGTAGGCTTCAATGGATATATCAGACAAATTATGTTTGTTTCTCAACTACAAGAGTTCTGTAAAACAAATAAACTGTTTTTAGAAGAGAGAAAAGTAGAATCCACCATGGTTTTCATTAACGATGGCATTGTTCTAGTATTCAGACGTGCCTCAATTCCCTTATATCTTTCCAGAAACACACTCTGTGAGCTTATGATCATTTTTCATTAATAGGATTTCTGAATAGCTTACTACATTTTTACATAGTGCAGAGTAGGGTGTTGTATGGGGCAGTAATGCTGGCTGGAGAATGAATAGTTTGTTTATGGAGAAACAAAGAAGGGAATAGAAAAGTTTCAGTGGGTGGGAAAACAACCCAGGAATGTGCTATAATAAATGTTTTTTAATTGTATTGAAAAATTAGAAGATGAAGAATAGTTTTCCCACAGACAGCAGAAACTTGCGAAATCTGAAAATGGAATCAAACATTTGTTAATTGGTAGCATGTTGTTAACCATTTCATCACTGCCTGAGTGTTATAGCGAAAGAGTACATTGCTGAACCCTGGCTACACTTCTATGAGACAGACACAATTAACCTTTCTGTGAGAAAAACGGCCTAGATAGTCTAAGCAGCCACTGCCAAAGCGGATACCTGAAACTATAAGGACATACAGAATATTGTCCTAGAGCAGATGGCTTATGTCCAATTGGGCCCAGGAAGTTTCCCTGAGTTCTACTCAGTAAGGGAAGACTTCTCATGTCTAGGTGATGTCATATGGCAAGATAAAATTGTGACTATTTTCTAATCTTTTCGCTCCAATATCTTAGTTTCTTAGTTGTCCTCATTACTTCTCTTCCTTCCCTACAGCAGCCAAGTCTTTCTGTGGTCGTTACTTTAGGGACAGGAGATGATATACACACAGAAACAGGAGTTACTCTCTGATTTTTATTTTCAAAAACCTCTATACTCTGGGAATTAAAAAACGATAGCAATTTTCATAATGGATAAGATGTTGCTTCGGGAACAAAATGTGTAAGCTTGGTAGTGAGAAAGGGAAGGAGAAGTGAAGTGAAGAAAGTATGGGTTTATATCTGAGAGAGGGAGGAGGAGGAGGAGGAGGAGGGGAAGGAGGAGAAGGAGGAGGAGGAAGAAGAAAGAAGAGAAGAAGAGAGAAAGAGAGGAGGAGGAGGAGAAAGGAGAAAGGAGGAAGAAGAAAGGAAGAAAGAAGGAGGAAGGAAGGAGGGAGGAGAGAGGAGGAGGAGGAGAAGGAGGAAAAGGAGGAGGAGGAGGAGGAGGAGGAGGAGGAGGAGGAGGAGGAGGAGGAGGAGGAGGAAAATCATTCTAGAATTCAGCCATCCCCAGATAATGTCTGTGGGATCTGCTGTGGACACATGCAGAGACAGAACCTTGAAGACAGACGTGACCCTAGGGAAGAGTGGCTGCAGGCATATCTGCGAAGGTTGTCCCTCAAATGGTCTCAGAGAGCTCCTCAGGCTTCAGCGGGTGCAGGGACAGTAGAAAGATTCCACATGCCAATAAAAACATGAACATTATGAGCATATAATATATATAAGCATCTATAATAAGCATATATAATATGTTATATAAGCATATAATAATCCTTGGTCTGTTATATGCTCTCAAGGAACTTCACAGGAATTAAAGAGAGCCTGAGTAAACCTGAAGGATTCTTATAGGTAGAAAAAAATTTATATCCCAAATCAGAATACAGGAATCCAACACCATGTGGAACATAATGTGAGCTGAGGATGAGTTTGCACATGATCTCACTTACTCACTCAGCCCCAACAAAATAATAAGCCCCTTTCAGGGCCAAACTAAAAGTACAGCAGGTAGGGCACTTGCTTGCATGCAGTTGACCCAGATTTGAT